TCACTCCATATTATTTTTTCGTTTACTTGAATGTTTCTCTCCCAGAAATGAAATCCTTAAAGGTTGGGAATGTATCTGATTCATCGCTGTTTCCCCAGTGTTTAGCCCAGGATTTGGCACAGAGCAGACTCTAGAGAGTGTTTGATGAATAAATAAATTAAGAAATTACTGAGTTTGTCTAGGCCAGTGCAGTGTTGTCTAGGAGCAGGTAGGGGAAATAGGAATATCTGATCCAGAGTCCTTATTGTGAATTAAGAACCTCCGAATCTGCTTCCTCCTTCTGTTCTTCATGACCCATAGCCCTCAAAATGACTATTCACCTAAAATCATACTCATCCTCTCCCCCATCACACAGCATGAATTCCCTTTGTTAAGACCAGATATTCTGAATACAGCTTTGTAGTTTTCACTGGACAACTTTCAGCCTTGAGAAATGCCCTTCTTGGCCTGACTCATCCCTGGGAACTTCTGTCTATTTTGATGCCCACAATGGCAATTCCCTACCTATAAGACCCCAGCCACAGAACAGACCCACACTTATTATCTGTCTTAACTTCAGGTAGTGGCCTGTCTTCATGTTTCCTGGCTATGCTGCCCTGACTTCTGGACGGACCTTCCTGAGTTTGCCTTTCTTCCTGAACTTCCAAGTTACCTCTCACAGTTACCCAATCCCTCTGTAAGACCTTGCTGAACAGTCCCTTATCTTTCATCTCAGACCCTCTTGATGCCTGCCTCTGGGGCTGTGATCAGAGATAACCATGCCCTGAACACTGCTGTGTCAACCCCTCTAGCAGGAGGCTCTAAAATCAGATCCCACCCACTCCCTAAATACCCTATCTGGTGCAACATAATGTGTTCTTCCTAGATACACGCCCAAAAGTCACTCTAATGGAGAGGGTTGAACCTCACAGAATACAGAGTGGGCAAGACAGAGCAGAATCAAGAAGACAGACACACATAACTAGGAAACAGGAATCCCAGAATAGAAATCAGAGAAGAAGGGGACTTAAAAAAATACTAGATGAAATTTTAGATCAAATTTTCAAGAGCAGGATGTACCAATCCAAGTTGCTCATTGAGTTTGAAATAAACCTGGAAAGGTAAAGTGAGAGTCAGATCTCTGAGACCCTAATTATCAGACCAGAACATTTGAATTTGAAACAGCTAAAAATAGGAAGCCACTGTAAATGCTTGAACAAAGCTGTCCAGGAACATACAGAAGGCACAAAATTGGGATTCAGGAGGCTTGAGTCTGAGGTCCTGGCTTTGTCACTAGAGATCTATGTGACTATGGGCAGTTCTCCTCCCCAATCTGCTCCAGATAAACTATGTACCAATGTTGAATGGTCTTAGCAGTTCCTCCAGGCCCTCAGACTCCATGACACACATGCTTTTGACCTGAAGAACTTGAGTTTCTCTCCATCTAGCATACACCATCCCTCACCCCACCCACTACCTCGCACTCCCAATCTGCTGAGAATCAGAGCCCCAGAGGAACACCTATTGTGTCCCATCTGTTGGCGACAGAGCCAGAGAGAGGAATGCTGTGCCACATGTGCTCCTGTTTATTCCTGATACTTTCCAGAGAACCAGGGATGGGGGAAAAGGGAAGGGAGGAAGAGGCCTCCACACAAGATCAGTTACAAGCATTGTTATCCCACTCCATATGTAGACACTGGACAAGCACAGCAGACAACCAGCATGTGGGAAAACCTGGGCCTTTTACCAACTAGCATCGTCCAAAGGTCAAATCTGAGACTTGGAATTTAAAAGGGAAACAAATAAAACAAACGAGGAAGCAGCTCTGAACTGGTTGCCTCAGATGAGAAAACATGAGAAGACCACATCCCTGCCCTTTGTGCTAGTCAGTGTAGGCTGGGCTAGGCCACTGGTACAGAAAAACTCCCAAATCTCGGTAGCTCATCACAGTAAAGTTCATTTATTTGTTGAACACTAATAAATTTTGCCAAAGCTGAAATTTTGAATAAAATAAAAATAGCTTCCATTTACTGAGTACCTATTTATGCCCAGGACTATGCTATACACTTTGCATAAATTAGTTCCTTTTTACACACGAAGAAGTTGAGATTCAGGGAGGTGAAGTGATTTAATGAAGTTACACATCTAATAAATGGTAGACTGGGATTGAAACCCAAGATGATCTAGGCCTGAGGCCTGTGCTCTTTCCTTACTCTACACTGCCTCTGAAGGGGACCTTGAAATGGACCTGATCCCTTACCCCTCAATCAGGCACATCTTGCATGGAAGAGGATGAAGAAAAGAAATCATCTGACAAATGGCTTAGGGAATATACATACACACACACATACACACACACACACACACACACACACACACACACACATATATATATAAAAATTTTTTTTTTGAGAAGGAGTCTAGCTCTGTTGCCCAGTCTGGAATGCAGTGGCACGGTCTTGGCTCACCTGCAACCTCTGCCTCCCGGGTTCACACCATTCTCCTGCCTCAGCCTCCCGAGTAGCTGGGACTACAGGCGCCCGCCAGCACACCCAGCTAATTTTTTGTGTTTTTAGTAGAGGTAGGGTTTAGTTAGCCAGGATGGTCTCGATCTCCTGACCTCATGATCTGCCTGCCTCGGCCTCCCAAAGTGCTGGGATTACAGGTATGAGCCACCGCGCCTGGCAGGAATGTATTTTTACAAAAATAATTTGCATCGTTCTTTCAGCTTGCCCACTGTCAACAGTGGAGGCTACTCAGTGCCCAACTCTCTATTGTGGACTTGTCTCCCCAGATCAGAAGCACCTCAAGCACAGGTGCTGTGTGTCCCCAGGAGCCAGCCTCAAGGTCAGGAGAGTTCTCAAGCATGTTTATTAGTTGGATGAGTGAATGAGTAGTTTCATTCATTCTTTAACAGAGTTTTGAGGAGTCTTAATATGTGTGGTTGAAATCAGACCACAAAATTTTGAAGGAAAAAGTCTATGCTTTATAGCTCCTTAGATTTCCTGCACTTAACATAATATAGGGCATAGATTAGCTCTTATACCACCCAAAATACCTGAAGAAGTGGACCCTATTCCTCATGCACTCAGAATAAAACTGAGGAGGAAGGAGGAAGTGAATTTGAGGAGTATTTGAGACAATGAAACAAGGGGACTTACTTACCAACAGGGTGTCAGAAGTAAGGGAAGAAATACACAAAAGAAGCGTAGGGGTACCCGTCTTCGGAAATTACCTCAGACCCCTAGAGTAATTTAGAGTTTAAGCAGAGTGTGTAACTGATAGTTCCCCAGACCTGGAGAAATGGAACAGCCTGTGAGTACAAATGAGGTTCCATTTATAATAATCATATGTGATTTGCTGCCTCATTCCTCTACCTGTTAAGGCGGGACTCTAGTCTTCCTCAAAGTCTCATTCAGTTATTTCTAGATGACTCCAAGTGGCATTGTATGTTAGCTCAGAAAGGGTGCTATCCACTTCTACATGATGTCTACCATATTGCTTCTTTCTTGTTCAGCCTATTCTGTGAGGCTTCCTGTTTCTTGCATTTGAGAGTGCCCCAACCTACTCAGGGCTCTCGCTGTCCACCAGGAGAAATCCCATTATCTAGCCAAGCGTGCTGCCTGTTTACAATATCAAGCTGTCAGAACAAGAAATACTATCACAACCAAAGTCATACCTTTTTTTCAATCTATAAATGGGACAAATGTTCATCTCCCTCACTCTGTATTCACAGCTCTGCGGTCTTTTTGGAAATAGCTTCTACCTGCAATTCCTCTCTCCCTGGTGCTCAAACATGGACTCATAGAGCTGATCCAGGAAACTAATCTCAGGGCACACACCCTATTTGTACCCTCCTCCTTCCCTAAAGTAGGGCTATTGCACTTCCCTGCGTGCTAATTTCAGCCCCCATAGATCTTCATGGGAACAAAACCCTGCAAGAAGTCTGTCCCAACAGTCCTCCATAGCCTAGTCTAAAGCTGGGACCCTTCTTCTAGAGGATGAATACCGTGACCTCTGTTTCTCATTCTGGAATCTTATAAAAACACGTCTTAATATTTTTATCTAGATGCATTCATTAAGCACCTGCTGTGCTCCAGATATCATAAAAGGAGCTTTCTGTGCAGCTCCTCACTTAGTCCTTACCTCATCTTTATGGTCTAAGTATTACTAGCCCTTCTACGGCTCCAGGAAGGGAAAGTGCCTACCCAAGGCCAGCCTTCTCTGGAACATTCACTCAAGTCTCAGTCTTTGTGCTGATGCTCTGGCCATGGCCTCTCTTGGAAGCCTGTTTCTTGCCCTTCATGATTACCAGACTTAGTATTAATTCTCTCTTTTCCTTTCATGCCTTACACATTAGATCTGACACCTAGCATATCTTTCCATCTGTGATCTCAGTCTCTCTGGTCAAAAAATTTGGTTTTCTCTTCTCTGCTGGCTCATATACAGCTTAGGCCTCCTTTCACTTGGGACTCTCCAAATTTGGCCCTGCCTCATGAGGGACATTTAACTGAGCCTGACTTACCAGGGCCCTGGAAGTTAGGTCTGACAGCTTCTTTATATACTACATGGCCTTGGGAAAAATCTTAACATCTCTGTGCCTCAGTTTAGTTGACCAAAAAGCAGGAGTACTAATACCTATCTTGCAGGTTTATTGTGGGAAATAAGACAGAATGTTTAAGGTACCTCTAATAATGCCTAACACAGTAAATGTACAGTAAACAAAGTGCTATAAAAGAATACTCTTCCCTTCAATTGTATCTGGTAAGCAGCCAATACCATTACCATTCCATTTTATAGATGTGGAAACTGATATCGAATAGGTTAAAAGACTTACCCCAGGTCCCAGACCTTGAGAATGGCAGATCTCAAATATGAAGCAGATCATGGTATTTAATGGCTCACTGTCTCATACTGCTTGGCACAAAGCAGTCCCTCTACAAATAGGGCTATGGGCTGCTCCTAAACGAATATATTAATGAATGAATTTTCCTTCTCTTCCCTTTGTGTCATTACCTCAGATGCCAGTGCTCTGCCCCAAGATGTGCCCACTGATTTTCTGTGTCCAGAGGAGATTAAGATGTTGCCGTTTTCTCTACCCCTAAAAGCCCTGCCCAGCCCAGTCTCTGGCTGAGTTCCTTGGCCCAGAACAATACAGGGAGAGATCCTTTCACAACTTGGGGCTTACCAATGGAGCACTCCTGCTGAGCCACGGCCTCCTGCCAAGCAACTTCCACTGCCCCTCTGATATGCAGATGTGTGCAAGAATCCTGCACATCTGCATGGGAAACATTAAAAAGCTATAAATTGGCTGGATAAAAGGAAAATGTGAGTGTCAGCTCTTTAGGAATGGATGCTCCTCAGGGGCCAAGGAGAGGAGAAGAGCAGATCACACGCTGAGAATAGTTGGCCCAAAGCAGACTGGGGATGGAGAAACAAAACTACACCCCAACTTTCACCTCTCACACGGAGGCTCATGCAATTTTAGAAGTGTGGATACCACTGGCTAATTTGAATTATTTCTCCACAAATGTCCCCATCTCCCTGAGCCACAATCTCCCTGAACCTTGTGGGAGTTTTGCTCTTCTTAATTTGCATCACCTCAGCCCGTTATAAGAAAAGCAAAGCATGGCAGCAAAGCCAATGGTAAGAACCCTGGACTAGGACTGAGACATCTTTCTTCAAATGCATTCATGTAACCAACATGTACAGAGTACCCATGCTTGTGCCAGGCGCAGAGGCACAGAGATGAATCCATCACAGTCAGGATGCTCAAGAAGGTACTACAATCTAATGGGCAGACAGGCAAGGAAATGAACAACTTAGAAGAAAGCACAGAAAACTTCCTGGGAGTGCAGGGTTGGTTAAGGTCAAAAGCATATCACAGAATACTTCCTAGAGGAGGTAACATCTGAGTGAATCTTGAAGAGATGTGGCAAGTGGCCAAGTGAAGAACTTATGTGTACTAACACAACCGAAGCATTGTTGGATATATGAGAGTAGATGCTCATTCACAAGCACCGATACTTCCACACACATACGTACGTGCACACACACACACACACATATGTGCACACATACACACCTTCTGAGGCAGGTGTAATATTGGTTGGGAATAGTTCATATGGTAACCCTCGCTGTTCATCTTGCTGCAATCCAAATGTCTCCCTTCCCCAGTGGTGCTGTTTCCTGAAAAGCCTTGGCAAGTTTCCTCAGAATCAGCTACTTTGCCACTGTTACTTTAAAAGCTTCCCTTTCTTCTACCAAATGGCAAAGGAAGCCAGAGAAAAATGAATTCACCAGGGCACCACGCTTGCTGTTGCTCTTGGTGTACCCCAAGCTAATCCCTCAAGAGTCCTGTGCTAGAACAAAGAGCAGGCTTATGGTTGAAGGGAGTGGTAGTTCAGCTCAAGGAAAAGACTGACTTTGAAGGGATAGGGTCGTTGCCTTTGATCCCTGCAGGAATATCTGAGGGCAGAAGAAACAATGCAGAACAAAGATCAATGTAGGGGTACTAGAGGTAGGGATTTTGCTCAATGTGAATGGATATTTCCTCAAGTAAAAGCTGCCTACCGGTGGGATTAGCGGCTTTGAAAAGTGGTGAGCACTCTGTCCCTGCTGGAGTGTGAGGGGAACAGACCACTGCTTATGGGATGAGGAATATGTAGCTGGGCCTCAAACACCAGGTGAGAGGTCACATCTTTTTGCCCTGTTCTGCCATCTTCACATGGGAATTGACTTAGTACAGGGCAAATATTCAGGCCTCTAAGAGTCCAAGGATTTGCATTTCCAAGGTTATGAAGAAAGGCATGTAGTAAATGTGTGTATAGGCATCCAAGATGTGAAAGGTGTGATTATTTTCAGAACCTAATCTCATACCTTCCCATCCTTGCTGAACTGAATATTGCAAATATATTCTGATTTGTATTTGGAATGGTGTGTTTCTAAGCAATCATCATTCTGAATACTCATCCCAACCAGGAGATGACCTGAATATTTAATAGAATAAAAGTGTATATATTAGATTACTTATTCAAATGCCTATCTGGCAGTTTGGATAGAATTAAGCAATAGTCCAATCTGGCTGTTGTTTTATGCATAGGATGTCAAAGCTAAACAGCCCTTAGAGAATATTCTCTTATTCTTTCTCTGTACAGAACCTCATCTTGTCCTGTTCACAGATGGGGAAACAGGCTGAGAGAGGGGGGCATAGAGCACGAGATGGGAGACCAAGGACCAGTGCTACCATTTAGTGGCTAGGCAAGATAATATTGTCCCTGTTGGACAAAGGAAGCAACTGAGGTTTGTTGTGGTGAAGTAACTTTTGCAGAGTCACATAGCTGATAAATCACAGAGTTTGTCTGCATCCCGGGCTATTATTCTTTTGCACTACCTCACTGAGCCCCTAATATAGCCTGAGAGTATGTTTCACCTTTCATGCCACCTTCAAACTATCTGGCAGCTACTTCAACTATGAAATCTTGGGAAGTGATGTTATTATCCCTGTTCCATAGTTGAAGAAATCCCATGAAATATGGAACTACATTTTAGATTGCCCAAACCAGGGATTCTACCGCACAGCTATTCTACCTTCCATGCTCTAAATGCTCCACAACATCAAGCAACAGCACATTGTTCTGCCTTTCCAATAACAAAAGGTAATAACCCAAATTTGCCTTTTGAAATGAACCCAAATATTCCTTTTGATGGAAAATGTTCCCTCAGAAGTTTGGTTAGATGTCATTTCTAAGAAAACTTCTCTGTGCACTCCCTACCCCAGACCCCAGAGCACTTCTCACATAGTATTGTCATTGTACAGGGGTATTCTCCCCACTAAATCATGAGTACTATGAGTCCAATAACCACCTCTGACTGTTCTCTGCATCTCCAGCATGGGGGTCTGGTACCCAGCAGGTTTCTGAGATTTGCTGAACAATGAATACATATTTGGGTAGCATCACTGCAGGGTGATGTAATAAGACTATGTGGTAGGAATTAAAGGGGAAGGGACTCTTCTCCCCCACCCAACCAACCAGAGTTTGTTAATCTCTGGCTATCAAAGAGAATATGGCAAGCCCTGAAACTTAACATGGTGCTTCCATCCCCAGCAAATAATAACTAAAATGTAGAACAACATTTCTGAGCTTCCTATGATTTTGCCATTGCTGGGGAAGAAGAAAACACCATCTGCAGCAATGTTTCTATTCAGACTAGAACCCTACTTCATCTCACCAGGCAATTCTGAAAGCACTTCAGCATTTTTTCCAGTACCATCCTTGCTAGTCTGTCCCTCCAGACCCCTAGAGCCCCTACCCTTCCAGGAAGGATTCCCCAGCTCAATAGCCCACCATGATATCTCCCTCCTAGCTTCTCTTTCTCACCAGATGCACCATTCCTTTCTTGTTTATCAGATGCTGCCTCTTATTTGTCAATTATGGAGGGTCAGTGTGGGTGGAGAGGGTTAGTGTGGGTGGAGAGAGGCAGTGTGGGCCAGTGAAGAGATCTCCACAGGCTCTGGGCTCAGAGAGGTTTGTGTATAAATCCCAACTTGACCAGTGAATAACTGTAGAACCTTGAAACATTTCTGTAACCACTCCCAGACAGTAAAATAGGAGTAAAACTTCACTCTCAGAATTGTTGGGAGGTATACAGGGACCCTGATAACTGAGGGCATTTTCTCTAAAGCTAGGGAGCTCATGCCTTATCTATAGACAACCCTGTAATGGGATACCTTTTAGAAATAATGCTGTGGCTATTGCACATAGAAGGATTGGAAAAGAGGCAGTAGAGGAGAGAAATCAGGCAGGCGAATTTGCAGGAATGGTCATGGGTTGGCAGGATGGAGAGGAGGTGTGGCAGTATAAAGTTATAGAAGATAATAGCCTGAACAAAAGAGGTAATAAATAATAATAAGAGCTAGTGTTTGTGAGCTTCTACTCTGGGCCAGGAATTATGCTATCGTTTTTTGGGGTTTTAAAAAAATATTGTTAATAATCTAAGATTTTTAATCTCCATTTTATAGATGAGGAAACTGAGATGTTGAGAGGTTAGGCAAAGTAACCAAAGTGACAAAATGACATACTAAGAAAACTTGGATTCAAGTCTAGACAATCTCATTTCAGAGCCTAAGTGCTTAACCACCAGACTAGCTCACAATTATAGCAGAGATTGGAGAAGAGCCATTTAGATAGTGAAACTGGCAGAACTTGTTGAAAGATTGGCAAGAGTGGGCAAGAAAGAGGGTAAAGCATAGGATACTCTCAAGTTTCTCTCTCAAGGTCCACAGGTCCTGAGAGGCACAGCCAAGATTTTAACCCAATTTTGTCTAATGACAAAGCACTTCCTCTTTTCATAGCCTCAGAAAATTGTACCTCAGACCTTAGTAAGGTAGAGATCTGTACCTTCCCCAGAATTTTATAATTCCTTTGTTTAAACCATTATACCATGACTTGCTTTCCTTAAGAAGTTGAGGGTATATATTTCTTTACAGAGGGATTTATTATCAATTACAAAGAAAAATTGACAGGAAAATGCATTTGATAGCTTTTCTTCTTTGGTGCCAAAACAAATGCAAAAGAGAACTCCAAGTGCCTTTGGAAATAGCGGTAGAGGAAGGGTAGAACATCCACTGTAGGCAGAGGGAGATTGGTGTGAGCTTGAGCTCTACTCATTCATCCCTTTACCTGGCCTTTCCCAGGGCTCTTCTCAATGCAAGACTTGGGCTGGACACTGAAGGACAGTGCTGGATAACAGCCCCTGCCTGTAGAGCTCATAACCAAGGTATGAGATGGACAAATAAGTGGACCTTCAAGAGCTATTTGAAAGAAGAGGGAGGGTGTCCTCTACACAAGAGGAGATGCTATATCTAGGTCTTGGCATTGGGCAGAAGAGAGCCATGTGACCTTGGGCATATTACTTGACTTAGCTTCCTTGTCTTTACTAGTTGGAATAATAAAGCTCACATTAGCCTGCTCTTTTCTCTCAGATACTCAAGGACCTATAGTGCTGGGTTGGTACTGGAGCCTTCACTGTTCCTGGGTGGATCAGGTTAGGCATGCAAACTGCAGAGCTTGATGCTGAGGGTGGGAACCAGAGGTCTATGGTGGAAATAAAACAGAAAAATACACACAGCCTAACCCTGAATCCCACTTGAATGGGCCAGGTAGAAATGTAAGTTCAAGTATGAAGTGAAAGATAGAAGACAAGACATGAGTCCATAGGCCACGTGTTGTAATGGAGGGTGGGGCCAGAGGCAGGGCCTCTGGATATTACTGGGAGCACAGACATTGGAATCTCTGTGGTATACTCTGGATGGGGAGGGCTTTGTTAAGCATGCTGAGTGGTCCAGTACTATTAGGAGAATGAAATGACATTATGCATGTGAAGCCCCCAGTATACTTCCTAGTACATACAGTTAACTTTCAATGAATGTTAATTGTAGAATTGTTCTCTTTTTACATCAGAGTTCACCAAGAGCTTCCAATGTACTAGGTCCTATGTTGGACACTAAGAGGAAAGGAATGATTAAAATGCAATTTCTGTCCTCAGAAGCCCAGACTAATGGAGGTCCAGACACATAAATAAGATGTCCCAATTGAAAGTTCTAAATGACATAATGGGGTAGGCATAGAGATATGGCAGGGTGAGGGGGCATTATCCCAACCTAATTGTTCCTGGAAGGCTCCATGGAAGAGATAATGGCTAAGGTGAATCTTGAAGGTTAAGAAAGACTGAGCCAGGCAAAAATTAGTGAGAAATCCATGCTGGGAATGGGCACAGCTTCAACATAAGCATAAAACAGCATGGTGTGTTCAAGAAAGTAGAATATAAGGAGAGGCAAGTGATAAGGCCAGAGAGGAGGCAGGGAGACAAGATCTGGAGACAAAGGAACCTGGCCTCCATCCTGAAACTTTCTATCAACCGATAGGAAGCCAGTGAAGGGTTTTAAGCAGGAAATTAACATGGCTCATTTTGTGCTTTAATTAGGTCACTCTGACTGGTGGGGGAGAGGATGTTAGAGAGTGCCAGCTGGAGGCCAGGGGAAGTCTTTAGTTTGATGTTTTGAAGTCAAAAAAAAAAAAAAAAGGTATTATGGAGGCAAGGCTGGAGAGGGAAATGGCGGATGGAAGACAGGACTGACGAACGTGCAGCTCCCGGCCAGAACAGCATGTAGAGACTCACACCGTGAACTTTTGGCCCAAGAACCACTGCAAAAACATGCAAAGAAGACCAAAAGAGTTCATAGATCCTGTGGAGGAAGCGGCTTGCTGTTGTAAACTTCACAAGACAGCCAAAAAACTGCAAGCTCCCAAAATATGAAAGGTGAAAACCTGCCTATGAATACACCTCCCCACTGGGGAACCTGAAAATCCAGAACGCAGAAGGAGGACTTAACCTTACCTAGAGCTGGAATGGATTTAGGAAGCTGAGCAAGATATTAAAGTAGAAGCTATGGGAAGAGCCCTGTAGGCACTCTCAGTCCCCAGCTGAAGCCCAGGGAAGCCATCCCTGACTTTATCTCACAGGGGTCTTTGGGGAAGGCAGCCAGAGGAACTAGGGAGGGATCACAAGGTGAAAGAAGATTCCGACTAAACTTTGTAATAATTTCAACTGAGCATAAATTTTCTTGAGCAGAACCTGGGAGTTGAATGGGAATGACTTTTGATACAAGTGCAGGAGCTGCAGCCAACAGTGTGGGCAGGCAGGGAGGGACAAGGCCAGAAAGCCACACTTGCTTTCTCAGTGAGGAGGCTGGTAACTTGGGGCAAGGTTCAAGCCCTGCACGTGGCCTGCCTGGATATAACTTTGCTGCTGTTAGTGGGGCACAGTGGAGTGAGACTGGCCTTGCTGTCTGTGTGGGAGCTGGGTGAGGCCTGTCACTGCCAGCTTTCTCCCTACTTCCCTGGCAACCTGTATGATGCAGCAGAGGCAGCCATAATCCCCCCTGGAACATAACTGCATTGGCCTGAGGACTACCCTCCCCTATGCTCCACAGTGGCCACAGCAAGCCCCTTCCAAAGAGAGTCTGAGCACAGACCCCCCCAACCCTACCCCAACCTGATGGTTTTCCTCTACCTGCCCTGGCAGCTGAACACAAAAGACATAAACTCTTGGGAGCTTTACAGCCCCATGCATTCATTGCCTGAGAAACCTGAATACTTATCCTGGCCAACTTAGGGCAAGCTTATGTCCCCCTTCTACTACCACAGCTGGTGCTCTCATGAAACAGAATGATCTTTGGGTAAGCAATGAAATCAAGATGGAAAGTAAAAATTCTTTGAACTGAATGGTAATAGTGACACAAGCTATTGAAATCTCTGGGATACAGCAAAAGTGGTGCTAAGAGGAAAGTTCATAGCATTAAATACCCATATCAAAAAGACTGAAATAGCACAAATAGACAATTTAAGCACACATCTCAAGGAACTAAAGAAACAAGAAAAAACCAAACCTAAAACCAGCAGAAGAAAAGAAATAACAAAGATCAGAACTAAATGAAATTGAAACAAACAACAAAAAAAGATAAATGAAACCAAAAGCTGGTTCTTTGAAAGGATAAACAAAATTGATAGACCATTAGTGAGATTAACCAAGGAAAGAACAGAGATGATCCAAATAAGCTCAATTAGAAATGAAACAGGAGATTATTACAATGGATATCAGAGACATACAAAAGATCATTTAAGGCTACTATAAGCACCTTTATGTATACAAACTAGAAAACCTAGAGGAGATGGATAAATTCCTGGAAATATACAACCCTCCTAGATTAAACCAGGAGGAAACAGAAACTCTGAACAGACCAATGACAATGGTGAGATTGAAACAATAATTTTTAAAATTGCCAACAAAAAAATGCCCAGGACCAGACGGATTCACAGCTGAATTCTATCAGACATTCAAAGAAGAATTGTTACCAATCCTACTGAAACTATTCCAAAAGATACAAAAAGAGGGAATCCTCCTTAAATCATTCTATGAAGCCAGTATCACCCTAATGCCAAAAGACCAGAAAAGGATATAACAAAAAAAGAAAACAATAGACCAATATCTCTGATGAACATAGATGCAAAAATCCTCAACAAAATATTAGCTAACTGAATCCAACAGCATATCAGCATATCAAAAAGGTAATACATCATGGTCAAGTGGGTTTCATACCAGGGATGTGGCGATGGTTTAACATATGCAAGTCGATAAATGTGATACATCATATAAACAGAATTGAAGAAAATAAAGTCACATGATCATCTCAATAGACACAGAAAAAGCATTTGAAAAAAATCCAACATCTCTTTATGATTAAAACCCTCAGCGAAATCAGCATAGAAGCGTCATATCTCAATGTAATAAAAGCTATCTATGACAAACCCACAGCCAACATTTATACTGAACAGTGAAAAGTTGAAAGCACGGCCTCTGAGAACTAGAACAAGACAAGGATACCCACTTTCGCTGCTTCTATTCAACATAGTATTAGAAGTCCTAGCCAGAGCAATCAGAAAAGACAAAGAAAAAAAAGGCATCCAAATCGGTAAAAAGGGAGTTAAGCTGTCACTCCTTGCCAATGATATGATTTGACACCTAAAAACCCCTAAAGACTCATCCAGAAAGCTCTGAGATCTGATAAATGAATTCACTAGAGTTTCAGGATACAAAATCAATGTACACAAATCAGTAGTACTGCTATATACCCACAACAACTAATCTGAGAATCAAATAAAGAACTCAGTCCCTTGTACAGCATCTGGAAAATAAAATAAAATACTTAGGAATATACTTAACCAAGGAGATGAAAGATCTCTACAAGGAAAACTACAAAACACTGCTGAAAGAAATCACAGATGAAACAAACAAATGGAAACATATCCCATGTTAATGGATGGGTAGAATCAATATTGTGAAAATGACTATGCTGACAAAAGCAATCTATAAATTCAATGCAATTCCCATCAAAATGCCATCATCATTCTTCACAGACCTAGAAAAAACAGTCCTAAAATTCTTATGGAACCAAAAAAGAACCTGAATAGTAAAAGCAAGACTAAGCAAAAAACCAACCTGGAGGCATCACATTACCAGACTTCAAACTATACTACAAGGCTATAGTTACATGGTACAGCATGGTACTGGTATAAAAATAGGCATATAGACTATTGGAACAGAATAGGGGACCCAGAAATAAAGCCAAAAACTTACAGTCAACTGATCTTTGACAAAGCGAATGAGAACATAAAGTGGGTGGGGAAAGGACACCCTATCCAACAAATGGTGCTGGAATAATTGGCAAGCCACATATAGAAGAATGAAACTGGATCCTCATCTCTCACCACATACAAAAATCAACTCAAAATGGATCAAAGACTTAAATCTAAGTAACCTAAAACCATAAAAATTCTAGAAGATGACATCAGAAAAACTCTTCTAGATATTGGCTTAGGCAAAGAGTTCATGATCAGGAAAGCAAATGCAACAAAACAAAGCAAAATCAACAAAAACAAAAGCAACGCAACCAAAGCAAAAATAAATAGATGGGACCTAATTAAACTAAAAGGCTTCTACATAGCAAAGGAAATAATCAGCAGAATAAACAGACAACCCACCGAGTGGGAGAAAATCTTCACAAACTGTGCATCCGACAAAGGACAGATATCCAGAACCTACAAGAAATTCAAATCAGCAAGAAAAAAAATCCCATCAAAAGGTAGGCTAAGGACATGAATAGACAATTCTCAAAAAAAGATATACAAATGGCCAACAAACATAAAAAAATGCTCAACATCACTAATTATCAGGGAAATGCAAATCAAAACGACAATGAGATACCAACTTACTCCTGCAAGAATGGCCGTAATTTAAAAAGTAAAAAATAATAGATGTTGGCATGGATGTGGTAAAAAGAGGACAGTTTTACACTGCTGGTGGGAATGTAAACTAGTGCAACCACTCTGGAAAACAGTATAGAGAGTCCTTAAAGAAGCAAAAGTAGAACCACCATTTGATCCAGCAGTCCTACTAATGGGTATCTTACCCAGAGAAAAAGAAGTCCTTATATGAAAAAGACACTTGCACACACGTGTTTATAGCAGCAAATTTTGCAATTGCAAAAATATGGAACCAGCCTAAATTCTCATCAACCAATGAGTGGATAAAGAAAATGTGGTATACAGGCCAGGTGTGGTGGCTCACACCTGTAATCCTAACACTTTGGGAGGTCAAGGTGAGCGTATCACTTGAGGTCAGGAGTTCAAGACCAGCCTGGCCAACATGGTAAAACCCCATCTTTACTAAAAATACAAAAATTAGCCAGAAATTGCTTAAACCCAGGAGGCGGAGGTTGCAGTGAGCCGAGATTGTGCCACTGCACTCCAGCCTGGGCAACACAGTGAGACTCTGTGTCCAAAAAAAAAAAAAAAAAAGATAATGTGGTATATATATGTACATAGAATACTACTCATCCACAATAAGGAATAAAACAATGGCATTCACAGCAATCTGGATAGAGTTGGAGACCATTATTCTAAGTGAAGTAACTCAGGAAAGGAAAATCAAACATTATATGTTCTCACTTATAAGTGGGAGCTAAGCTATGAGAACGTAAAGGCATAAGAATGATATAATGGACTTTGGGTACTTGAGAGGAAGGGTAGGATGGGGGTGAAGGATAAAAGACTACACATTAGGTACAGTGTACATTTCTTAGGTAATGGGTGCACCAAAATCTCAGAAATCACCACTAAATAACTTATCAATGTAATCAGAAACCACCTGTTCCCCAAAAACTATCAAAATAAAAAAAGTCATTATGCTTTGGTAAAATTAATTAGAAAGGATTCTGAAATGGGAACAAGGGTTTCTGGGTCTGAAGCTAGATATGAAAGGTTAACATTTTACTACCATATTCAGTAAGCTGAGGTTCTATTCTCTACACCATTAAACTTCACATAAGGGTGCGTATTGCCTTTAAGGGCCCTGCCAGGTTTAAGTCTTCAAGATGCAATAATTATATTTCTATTCTTAGGGTGTGTATGTCATTGACCCCCTAGGAGGACATATGATTCAACTTCTGCTTTCCTGTGTCAGAGTGGGCTGCTGTTTTCCCACGATGGAGGTTTGCCTTTAACCTTACCTGTTCTCCTTGTGGAAGATGCTATATTTTCGCATGATTGGACAGTGTTAAGATCTGTGCCTTGATCAGGGGCATTCTGTGGCCAAGATCAGGATTCATAGTGTGGGACCCAATCTGTAACCAAGATTTCTTTCAGTCTATGGTTACAGAGCTGAGAAAATTATCCAGTTGAGATCTTTGAAATCATGTCTTTAGACTCGTAACCACAGTGTCTGCTCCGCTTACCTGACCTGCTAAACTGTGCTGAAGGGTTCTGGACAGATGAACATGGGTACTCAAGGATTCTTCTGGTCCTGGCTGTGCCCAACTGTGTATATTTAGAAGCTGGGGAGCAAATGGATACTCTGGATCCCCACAACCTCCACACTTCCTTCCAAGACAATGCTGATTCAATACACTGTCTTAGGGTGGCCTGTTTTATGACTGGGAACTCCTTAAAGGAAAGAGCTCCACTGGATTCATAAGTTTTTATGAGTTCATTATTCCTATCTATTTTAATTGAGGAATTCCCTAGTTGTAAGTACTGTGCTAGATATTGGAGATATAGAAGTAAACAAGCCACACATAACCTCTGCCTTCATGCAGACTAGTATCAATGCAGAGGTGAGAAAATAGGTGCTTTGATGGGACACAAGAAGTATTGGGTGCTAGTGGAACAGAGAACAAACATCCTAACCAAGTGTAGGATTAGAAAAAGTATTTTTGAGAATTAATGTTTAATTTGAGGTCTGAAAAATAAATAGTAATTGGACAAATGAATGGTATTAGGAGAAAGTGTTATAAGTAGAGGGAACAGCTTGTGTGAATACCTATAAGTAAAAGGAAGTTGACCCACTGAAGGCACAAGAAGAAGGCCAGTTTGATCCTTGTCGTGGAACTGTTCTGTATCTTGATGGTGATGATAGTCACATGAATCTACATGTGATTAAATTGCATAGAACTGGCCAGGCATGGTGGCTGTAATCCCAGCACTTTGGGAGGCTGAGGCGGGCTGATCACCTGAATTCAGGAGTTCAAGACAAGCCTGGCCAACATAGTGAAACCCCGTCTCTACTAAAAAATAAAAAAATTAGCTGGGTGTGATGGCAGATGCCTGTAATCCCAGCTGTTTGGGAGGCTGAGGGAGAAGAATTGCTTGAACCCAGGAGGCGGAGGCTGCAGTGAGCTAAGATTGTGCCCCTGCACTCCAGCCTGGACAACGGAGTGAGACTGTGTCTCAAAAAATTGCATACAACTAAATACACATACATATACACAA